CCGACCAAACTGTGCAGCTCTGCAACTGCATCCTGGCCCATCCTCACCCTTCTGCCCCCAACCCTCACCTCCTTGTACCCCCAATATGTTTTTCCCAATAAAAAAAATTAATAAAAAAAAAATAGAAACTTACTCATCATTGCTTACTGTTTACTCATCATCTTCTTTTTAATGGCATTTGAAATCTACCAGTAAAGCTACTTCCTGACAATGAATGACATGTGCCACAACTCGTGCATACACAGTTGACCTGCTTCAGTCAGCCTTATTGTCTAAGATGAAGCCTTTTCTACCAGCGCCTTTTTTCTTCTCTTTACATATTCTGATTTCTTTATTACACTCTGATTCAATTCTTACAGAATTCCTCAGAATCTAGCCTTATGCAGTATAATCCTGTTTTGTTTTGTTTTTTTCATACAGCCATTCAAAATATTTCCTTAGGAAGCCTTGTAATTTGTCAAGTCCTAAAGAATCTTTTCCTTTTTGCTTAATTTCTGCATACTAGGTTAAATGTGTTGTTTTGTGGAATCAAAAACTTTTCCACAATAATATTTACTGTTTTACTAAGATTATCTTTTCCAGGAGAGAAGTACAATTGTATGGTAGAGGGAACAAGACTTGAGAAGTCACGTGGCAGCCAAAGCCCAGAATGGCTGTGACCTAGGCAGAGAAAAGCCACTTCCTTTGTCTGAAGGCACATAGCCCACGAGGGCCATGTACACACATATGAACAGAGCTTTTTGCATTCACCACAGAACAGGTCACCTTAAGGAGGCACACTTCATAGTGTGTTAGGGATAGCTTTTGGGCAAAATGCTGGACATTGCCACTTTCTTGTGTTGCTTGTTTCATCAAAGTAACAAGCTTCACCTGATAGTCCTCTAGCCTAATTGCTCCAACTACTTCCCTCAGAGCCACCCCCCTTTTATAAAGGAGAGGGAAGTACTTTTCTTTTGTTTATAAACTCAGATCACAACTCAAAATGAGGGTCATATCCTCTAATGCCAGATTCTTCCCAAAACAAATAATCTGCAGTGGTACTTTTCTGTACCAAGCACCAAGCCCGCAGTTACAAATTGTATTTCATGATGTTTTGTCACGACTGATACTTAATTGATAAGAGCTTAGTGAAAACAAAATAATGTCATTTTATCTCCAATGGAGATTCTATAAAGATATCTCAAAATGCTTTTTGTCTAGTGACTTACCTGAATTTCTAAGTATTAAATATAAAGATGTTTAAAATAAATACATATGCAAAGTTTCTGAAATTGACTTCCTATCTGGTTGCTTTGTTTGGTATCAATCCCGTACCCCTAAGAGGAGTTTCACTTAAGTCCTTGAGTGACAGCCTTGACTGATAAGTGGAGTCCACATCACAGGTACAATTTCTGAAGCCACAGCTAAATTAACTCACTATTGAGAAATTAAAATGTTGTGAGGACAGGTTGTGGTTCCAACTTCTTATGCCCCTGGGTACAGGAATGAAATGGTACCACCACAGCCATGCTCCCAGCCGCCAGTCCACCCATTAAGGGCCTGCCTTTTGATTCCTCTTAATTTCCACCAAGCATCACGTCTGCTACAACTAGACTCTCTTAATGGTAGACCCAAAGTATGTGAGACAAAGGCTCATCTCCTTGCTGCTTTGAAACATTCTGGTTTCACATCTTCCAGGACATATTTGTTCTGTTCTTTTGGTAGGTAGACCATGGTATATTCTCTGTTCTTTACCACATTATCCTTGCTTACGGATTTTCCCAGTGAAACATGTTTAATTTCTTGACTACTGTTTCTGTGGGCATTGATAGTGTATCAAAGTGAAATGAAATCTTTAGAACTTCAATTAAAATGTTATGGTACTTAGATACCATAGTGGTCCCTAGTGAAGGTCAAGTCATAATCATACACTCTTGGAAAATGAGTTTTGTTTTGCCTCACTCCGGAGAAGGACAGAGAAATGAAATGAGCATAGTACCAGAACTCTTAGTACCTGGAGAAGGTGATGTGGAGATCAGAGCATGATTACTACCCTCCCTCACTTCCTGTTTCCTCAAAGCTGTGGCCCACATCAGGGTGGAGCAAGTATTAGGCATTCTCTAATTAGAGGTATCCCCTTCCTCAAAGGAGCAAGAGAAGACTGTTGGTCCTCTGCTGCCTGGCTGTTCCTCTAGATAGGTGGGGAAAGCTAACAGATTGGTCAGGTGGGAAGAATGTTTCTTTATAAAGGGATTTAAGTTACCTACTTTGAGTTACTGATTGATACTTGGTGCACTATAAGGCATCTTCCTTCCCACATGCCACCCTGAGCACAGTCCTAGAGAGGTATCACAGGTTTTTAATGCCTAGTTACAGATGCCATTGATTTCACCTAGCTCATAGACAGAAAATAGAAAAATCTCAAGTTGACATTAATTTGGTTTTTTTAAATAAATGGAATTTTATTAATGAACATTTCACCTATTCATTATTCTGAAATAAAAATTTAATACTTGTTGCCTTCTAAAGTTAAAATCAGTCTTCCATATAAGAAGCTTTTGAAGTATTATCCCCATGTAAAAGACACCAATTAGACATGTTTGTGTTCTAAAATGAAGCCTCCCCATCAGGGACTAGTGCCCCTGCCAGGAGATGTCTTCTAGGATAGAGAATGTGGCTGTCAGAGTGTTGTAAACTTAAGAAATTCCATTAATACTCTTGACGTATTTTTAATGAAATGTTGTGATTTTAATGAACATTTACAGAGAAGTTAGATTTTCATTCATTCATTCATTGTTGCACATTTTACTCCCTTCTCCCACAGTTCATTTTTTAAAATATTCATTCATTGTTTGACATTATTTTTGTTTTTAATTTAAATAGCATTCAGTTTATTACAAATATTTAGTATTGGCTTCCCATACTTACCCCCTTTTGTTTTTCTCATAATTATGTTATCATCTAGATGAGCATCCTTTATACGCAAACAAATAAACATAATAAATTCAAAGAAATACTGTCAAAAATCTCCAGATGATCAGAAGGATTCAGGTTGAAAGTTGAATTTGTCCCATTGCCACAGTGCTTGTCAAAACCATTTCTGATTAATCTCCTTTGTCAGTGTGTCCTTTGCCATTCCCTATCACTCCTCCCTGAGAGAGATTTCATCCTGATTCATAAGGAAAAGGGGACGGCATATTCTCTTAGCTACTTCCTGCTGAAAAGGGATGCTGTAGGTTTCAGGGTGAAGATCTTCTCTCACTAAAGGGCCCATTTGGCAGTAGGAAACACGTAGACTATTATGGAGATTGATTTTGGAATTTAGATGCACTGTTATCAGTTGTACTTAGCCATACATGTTCATATCCTTGAAGATGCATCATGGAACTGCTGCAGCCTAGAAGACACAAATTTAACTAACAAGTTAAAAGTACGTGAGTCAAAAATTAAAAGCAATCATATTCCAAGTAGAGGTTCTAACAGTGGCACAAATCAAGTTACAGAAGGAAGGTAGTTCTTAAAAGAAAAGACTTATTGACTAGCTCTTTGTCTATTATAGTATAAAGGTCAGGAACAGCAAGATGTAGAGGCTTTTTAAAGAAAATTTATTATTAATTTCAGTGAAAATTTACAGGTTGCACTTTTCTCCCCTCCCAACCCTCTCCCTTAGTACACTACCCTCTTGGAAAAATAAAATTGTTTCATTGTTTTACAATCCCTCCCCCCAGGTCCACTCTTATGCAGCCTTCGCTCTGGACTCCTATCATGACAAAAATACCTAATCACATATCCCTTTTCAACAGTTTTCTCCCTCATCTGTTTCAATACAGTTAACATTATTGAACCCATCTTTCTCAGTCTCCCCCCAACCCCAAGGTCAGTCCTGTTTAACAACAGTGGCACCATGCAGTATTTGTCCTTTTGTGACTGAGATACTTCACTCAGCATAATGTCCTCCAGGGTCACCCATTTTGAATATCACGAGTTCCTTGTTTTTCAGTGCAGCATAGTATTCCATTGTGTGAATATATCACAGCTTCTCTATCCACTGTTTGACATTATTTCTTTATACTATAAATATTTTTAAGCAGAAATGTGATGTGTACATTTATTTCTACAGTTTTACTTCTTAATAGAAATGTGTATTATCTTGAGGAAGGTTTTAAAATACTGTATTGCAGAGAGTTATTGCTTAAGAGATAGTGAGTTTTTGTTAAAAGTGATGGAAAAATTCTGAAGTAGCTATTGGTGATAGTTATACAGCATGGTTGAAATGGCAGTAGTTTTCTCATTATGTGAAATACGTGCAAATGTTAAGTAATTGAGTTGTACTTTATTTCTTTTCACTTTTTAAATAAATTGCTCAGTCCTTTGCAGAGTTGACAAACCTGGGCTTTTTTTGTTGTTGTATGGCATCAAGTCAGAACTGACACCTAGTAGACCCTCCTTGGAGTTTTCAGAGGCAGTAGATCACATGGGAGGAGACTGCCCATCCTTCTGCACAGCAGCTGGTGAATTCAAACCACCTTTGGGATCGTAGTGCAGCTTCTTAGCACCAGAGCTCTCACAAACTGCTAATAAGCCTACGCATATTTAAAAGCCAGTATCTTCCTTTGACTCTTTCAGAGACTACCTTCTCCCTCCAGAGACACAGCCCCTGCATGAGGTGGTGTACTTCACTGCTGCTCACACCCTGCGAGACCACCTAAATGCTTCTCCTCGAATCGCCCTCCACACTGCCCTCAACAATCCTTATTATTACCTCAAGGTAAGAAACACATTTCTTTTTTGGATTTTTTTTTTAATGCAACTTTTTTTTTACAGCATATTCTTCCCATTTTTTAATGTTTTTTTCCCTCATTCATTCATTGTTGCACATTTCCCTCCCTGCCCACCGCCCCCCACCCTGCCCCAGTTCGCGTTTCTCTTTGAAAAGAAAAAAAAATATTCTTTGTTATACAAACCCACCCCCACTCCCCAAATCCACAGTCCACTTCACTAAGCATTTCTTTTTCTGGAATCTTGTCCTGATAATAGTACCTAATCCTGTGTTCCCCTCTTTTCCTAAGTTCCCCCCCAACCCAGATGTCAGTCCTGTTTTACAACAGTGGCACTATGTAGTATTTGTCCTTTTGTACTGAGATATTTCACTCAGAATAATGTCCTCCAGGGTCACCCATTTTGTATAGTATTTCATGAGTTCCTTGTTTTTCAATGCAGCAAGAATTCCACTGTGTGAATATACCACAGCTTCTCTATCCATTAGTTTGTTGATGGGCACTTGAGTTGCTTCCAACTCTTTGCTATTGTGAACAAAGCAGCAATAAACATGGGTGTGCATTTATCTTCTTGGGTGGCAGTTATGGTTTCTTTAGGGTATATTCCCAGGAGTGGAATTGCTGGGTCAAATGGTATTTCTATTTGCAACTTTTTGAGAAAGCATCATACAGCCTTCCACAGTGGTTGCACCATTTTACACTCCCACCAACAGTGAATAAGGTTCCAGTTTCTCCACAACCTCGTCAGTATTTGACATTTGCTTCTCTTTTGAATTTTGCTATTTTTTACTGGGGTGAGATGGTATCTCATAGTTGTTTTGACAATTCATTTCTTTAGCGTTTAGTTCAGCCTACAGACTTAGCACAATAATGCTATAAATAAGATGCGTCTGATTCAGGCCATGGTCTTTCCAATTACATGCTGTGTATCTGAGAGCTAGACAAGGATGACAGGAAAAAACCTGACGAATTGATGCCTCGGAGCACTAAGCATCCCATGCATGGCCAAGAGCACAAACAGGTATGTCTTGGAGAGGGTGCAGCTGGAGTACTCTTTGGAGGCAAGGATGATGAGGCTTAACCTCACATACTTGGAACATGGTACTAGGAGGGGCTATTCCTTTGAGAGGAGAAAGACATGATGTTGGGAAGAGTGACGGTTGGCGATGGAAAGGAAGAGCCTCAACCAACTGGATCGACACGTTCGCTGCTGCAGTGAGCTCTTGGGTGTCAGGGAGTGTGAGGATGGCACAGGATAGAACAGGGTTCAAATCTTTTGTTCTTGTGATCACTGAGTTTTACTCGGCACCGAACAACAGCAACAACAAACATTTAACAAGTTCAAGTTACACTTCTTTCATACATTTTTTTAAATTTTTTAGACTTCAGAAGGGATTTCAATATGATGTTGCCTGTATTTTTTATCTTACATAAACTGTATGCCCTTCTTGTGAAAAAACTAGTTCAGAGAAATTACTCAGGAACACTTACTGCCACTGTTAGAAAAATAAAGAAATTTTTTTCTACAGACATTAATGGCAGGAAATGACTCAGATAGTATGGCCAAGTAACTTACTAATAGATCCTAAGAGTTACTTCTCACAGAAAAGAAAAACAATCCTGTGGAATTTCATCTCATATTATAAACCAAAGTAAGATCTCCTTAGAGACTGTTACAGAGGTGAGTGTAGATTATGGCCAGTGATCCACCAGGTTATACCTCCAGGACAATACAGCAGAGCCGCTTGTGTAAAGTCCATTCACCAATTCCCAGAAATTCAGAAAGCAGATTATTCCTGCTCAGGACAGTTCAGAATTTTAAACTAATTTTCTCATGAGTAACAGTTGAGGAGACTGTTGCTTGGATTGGGAACACCATAGTCTTTATGCTGACATCATTATATTTTAGTGCTCTAGAGAGGCCCCTGACACCAAATTTTCCAACTGTGACTGGTCTTTTGATTTCATAACTGCTGGTACCAAGGGTGTTGATTGTAGATCCAAGCAAGATGAAACTGTTAACAAGTTCAGTCTCTTTACCATCTGTTGTGATGTTGTCTATGTTCATAGGGTCACTAGCAGCTTACATATGACTCTGTAAAATGATCACGTCAAGCATTACTGTAAGTTATTTATATGTTGTATTTGGGAAGTGTTAAGCATCTCAAAATTTTATCACAAAAGCCAAGTAATAACTGCATAAAATCTATAAGGAGCATCCTACTTACAGATTTCCTATTGTAAAGTGGCATATAAATTGCCATACAATAGAATATTGAGTAAGAAAGTATTAAGCTGTGGTTTTTAATGGTTATGGTAATGAGGACCATGATTGTGTAAAGAAGAGAAAAAAATGAACTCTTTAACTCGTGGTTGTTCACATTTTGTTACTGGTATGTTTGCTTGTCTTTGGTAGAATAAATGATAATCTAAAGGTGGAGGCATAGAGAGAGCTACGCTGGCCTAGTGGACAGAAAGTTATGCTACCAAGCCCAAGATGGGTGATTTTAATCTGCAGCCCTCAAGCCTGGTTCAGATTGGTTTTTTTGTCAAATATTCTTCTAGGTGGTATAGCAGTGGTCTGTGTAACTGTACAGAGTAACTCATGATTGCTGTGATGCTAAACACTCTGACTCTGATGTGCCAAATGTGATAATGGTTACCAGTGGTGGAGAGTTTAGTGGAGCTTCCTGATTAAAACAAGCTTGGAAGCAGGAGTGGCATCCACTTCCGAAATGGCTTGCCTCCAGAAACTCTATCAACAGTGCTCAGGTATTTCGTTCATAGGGTCGCTGTGAGTTGGCACCTAACAACATCAACAGAGGTGGAGGTAAGACATGCTAGATAAACACTAATGGTTAGTAGCATTTAGTATTTTCTGTGTTGACAGAATAATCTTTTCCGTTACATACACCCCTGGGAAAAGAGTAATATCTAGAATTTAGATAATTATGTTGGAATGGAATTTTACTGAAAATTCACAAAGAACTCCAGAAGCTTTTTAGGGTAATCAGAAATGCATTTAGGCCTCAGAAAAATGAAAATATTGTCTTCTAATCCTGGAAATAATGCTCCAGTGACTAGGAGCTAGCTGGAGGGATTATTAAGACCCAATCTTGATCATAAATGCAGCTTATTAAGCAGGACATGTTTAGAAACTAATAGATTTCATTAATTAGTTAATAAATTTAGGTTAAGGTGTTTATTAGTGTCTGATTTTGTTTTCAATCATTTCTGGACAGTTTGGTTTATTACTATTTTTAGAATGAAGTTCTGAAGAATGAAGAAGGCTGCATCCCGAATACTGCACCCGACATCTGCATAGCATATAAACTGCACCTAGAGTGCAGCAGGCTGATCAACCTTGTGGACTGGTCAGAGGTAGGTGCGGGAAAACCCCAACTATGTGCCCACCAATCCACTGACAACTTCTCACAATGGTTTTATAATTTTATTACTTTGGAGCTCACCATTTTCTCTTTTTAGTGCCCTATCTTTTGCTTTAAAATTCTAAATCATCAAAAGATCTTTAGAAAATATTGCCATCTCGGGGTGGGGGGTGAAATGACAAATAAAGAAATTTAAAAAAAAGAAAATATTGCCAACTATTTAAAAACCCCACTGCTATCCTTACTTAATAACTGTACACCATTCAACCAGACAAGTTCTGAGTTCATGCAAGGTCAAAATAAGTATATGATCTAACCCAATAATTAATATTAAGAATAACAATTTACATTTGTTATATATGTTATTCCACAAAATACAGAAATGTATTATTAACTAGCATCTCCTGTTTCATAAATGGAAAAAAATTTATATCTTATAATGACTATACAAGATTAGCAATCAGGAAGTGGAAGTACAAGGGATAATAGGCAAGGCAGCAGACACTATTAATACTTTTTAAAATAAGAACTCTTCCTCATCAGAAGAGTTTTGTAAAAACTGAGCTAGCTCTATGGAAGGTCCTGTTTGATAGTTGTCACCACTTAAAAATATAGACATTTTTGCCTGCATCTAAGAGAAATGGGCATCTTTCTTCCTGAGGTTAGGGAAGTTGATGAATAAATGTGGGGGCTTGCTTTAATTTCTGGCTTTGGCTCACTTTGTTTCTTGTTTTCCTCTGCATGCATCTTGGTTCTTTGAAATAATGTACAGAGTAATGTACAGAGTAATTGAGTTAATGTAGTCATCACTTGATTTTGAGAATCTGAAATTTGGTGATGAGGAAAGTCAAGTCTCAGACACAGTAAATGCCTAAGTGCTCCCATGATAAAACTGTCAAAGAAAGTGCTATGCTGGGCACTTACACAGACTTTTATTTTTTTGTTTGGTCCCCTCAATAGGCTTTTGCAACAGTTGTGACAGCTGCTGAAATGAATGCAGATTCTACAATCTCAGAAGAAACGAGTGAAATTATCCAGTATCCTTTCAAAACTAGATGTACAATGTTTATTTGCACACAGTATATAAATTTATAGTGTGAGTTTAAAATCTGAAGATTTATAAAGCCATGCTCCAAACTATTTTGCCTTTTATGATTAAGCTTTATAGTTATGAATACTATTAATCTAACTTTCCAGAATAATTCCAGTTTTCTACATATTTTCTCTGAATTCAATCTAAAATAAGGCCAGTTTGTTTTAAATGTTATAAGTAAAAAATTTATGAAAACATTTCAAAGTATAGATTTTTAAAGATTCACCTAAAATGAAACCATCAATATTATACACTCTATAGTTTTCAAAGCTGTTAACTTCTAGAAACCTAGGAGAGTACTGTTTGAAGCAGTTAGATTCCAGTAAGTATTGAATGCTTTTCTTTCATGTTTTAGTGGGTAGATTCACATCACATTTAATGTTTTCCAATAATGGCCAGAGTTTAAGATCATATAGTTGAACTGCCTCCTTCGGTTTACTAAATATTCTGGCACTGAGATTTTTGCCTCTTTTTGTGAAAAGTACAACCTGATGCATTTCCTTAGCTGTTGCCTCTAGTGCTCGGTTTATTAGAGCAGTTTCTGAGTTAGAACTTCTGGGATTTATAAAACCTACGAAACAGAAGACTGACCACGTGGCAAGGCTGACATGGGGAGGCTGCTAGAAGGCAAATGTGTAGAGAGAGAGGATCACAGTTTGTTTCAGGAGAAGAGGAGGCTGATCATATGTAAATGCTACTCTGTTCATCTATTTGGGTGAAATAATGTATAATCCCAGTGTGTACTTAACCAGCAAAGAAATGTGCTTGCTAACCCTAAACAAGTGTCTTTTGAAACATTTTTGGGATACTTCATTCAGTATCTGATCAGTATCATTTGGTCTGGTGTTATATCTGGTGGTATAACTTTGAAAAAAAAAATCATTGCCAAATTATGAGTGAGTTGTTCTTAAAATGCACTATATAAAATAAATTCCTAGGGGAGCTCTGGTGGCCTAGTGGCAAGGAGCTGCAACTACAATCCCAGAGGCGAACGGTTCGAATCCACCAGATGCTCTGCCGAGTAAGGAGGGACAATCTCCTCCTGTACCAGTCAGATCTGATTTGACGGTACACGCACACACACACACACACAAAAAAAATTTAAAAAAAAAATAAATAAAATAAATTCCTTTACCACAGAGTGTTATTTATTTATAGTTTATTTATAATCAGTCCTCGTCCCCAATTTCTTACACTGGTCTTCCCCACTCTAGTAAATTTTAAGTAACATGAATATCCTCTAGATTTATTTCTCCTGATTAATTACATGATTCTGTGCTGCCTCCCTATTTCCTGTAGTCTGAGAGTTTACAGGTCCTGAACTTTATGCTTAAAGGCAGTAAGTGTGTTACTTCAAGACTATTGTAGACTCTTCCAGACAGTAAACCCTTTAGAGTAAGGCCCAATTTAAATGATGTGTTCATCTCTCATATGGCCTCATCAAGATATAATGAACCAAGGACTAGTACACGTTGTTGTTGTTATGTGCCGTCGAGTCGCCTGCGACTCATAGCGACCCTATGTACAACAGCCCTAAACTCCGCTCTGTCCTGTGCCAATCGCACTGTCTCTGACACTCCCATCCCAATTATCCCAGTCACTGAATCAATCCACCTCATAGAGGGCCTTCCTCTCCTGCGCCATCCAGTATTTAATACTTTACTATTGTTACATTCCATCAAGTTGAAAACAACCCATAGCTGACCCTGCAGCGGGTTTTCAGAGGTAGTTAATAATACAGGAGGCGAATGCCCATCCTTCTCCCAGGGAGCAGTTGGTGCTAACAGTGCTCCCTAATAGTTTACTAGTACAAGGTAATTCATCGACTCTTGTTCAGAACTACTCACAAACATATCAAAATTACAATGCAAGTATATGGTTATCGAAGTCCAGTAAAAATTGCTTTAATTGAACCTCTGAACTAGCCATGTTAATTACAGCTATTTGGGGTTGGGGTTTTTTTTGGCAGATTTTGTCTTTGAGGGAAAAAAATAATTTATACCTAAAACTTAATTCTGGTATACAAAAGTAACTATCATGGCTTTGAACTGGAATGGGAATATGGATCTCTTCCAGTCCACTGGCCAGGGAGATTTCTTGGCACAACCTGGTGAACGTGTCCAGGGTAGCATCTGTTTGTTGAAATATGTCTATTTTTATGCCATCAATTCCTGGGGTCAGTTTCTTCAGAGCAGCTTTAACTTCCTCCTTTGTCAGGAATCAACAACTTGTGTTATGCAGACACAACCCTGTCTGCTGGAACTGAAGAGGACATGAAACACTTGCTGCAGTTCTAGACTGCAGCTCAACATCAAGAAAACAAAAGATTCTCACCACTGGGCCAACTAGCACCATCATGATAGACGGAAAAGAGACTGAGATTGCTAACAGCTTTGGCTTGCTTAGTTCCACAATCAACACTAACACAGACAGGAATCAAAAGATGAATAGCATTGGAAAATCTGCTGTCAGGGAATCTCCAGAGTACTGAAGAACAATTATGTCATTCTAGAGACTAAAGTGCCATGGTCTTCACAACTGCTTGCAGTGCATCAGAGAGCTGGACAGTGACTAAGGATAATAGGAGTTGATGGAGGAGAGTATTAAATATACCATGGACTACTAGGAACAAACAGGTTTGTCCTGGAGAGGGTGAGACCAGGCTGCTCCTTGGAGGCAAGGATTCTAAAGCTCCATCTCAAGAGTTGTGATACCAACCCAAAGTCAAGTGGTTTGAATCCACAAGATAGGCGATCTCCTGTGCCATTCACAGCCTCTGAAAAGCCGCTGGAGGGTCAGCTGTAGGTCGCTTCTGCCTTGATGGAACCCAGCAGCAGCAATAGGGCTATATATCAGTGAAACCCAGGATCCCATAGTTCAAATTGTATGTCAGCTTCACCATGATTTGACATTTATGTTAGTAATGTGGCAGTCATGTAATATAGTTATTACCAGTCACTGAAATGTGGTCTGATATGGTCAGCCCTGACCTGATAAAGGATTAGGTAGGATGTAACATCCTTAATCTGGTCATAGCCCTGATTCAATGTAGAAGTCATCTGCTCAAGGGTGTGGCCTGCACTGGAGGGGAAAAAGTGTGTGTATGTATTTGTTGTTGTTGTTATGTGCCGTCGAGTCGCTTGCGACTCATAGCGACCCTATGTACAACAGCCCTAAACTCCGCTGTCCTGTGCCAGTCGCACCGTCTCTGACACTCCCATCCCAATTATCCCAGTCACTGAATCAATCCACCTCATAGAGGGCCTTCCTCTCCTGCACTGTCCCTCCACCCTCCCAAGCATGATGTCCCTCTCCAAGGACCGGTCTCTCCTCACAACAATTAGTATGTATTTAAGTATGTAAGTAAATTGACATTCTGACCGGGATCACTAGCTGGATCCTGCATCTAGCTCTTCACTTTGGAGTTGAGCTTCTGGCCTACCAATATGATTCACTTCTGCATCTAAGTGAATCTGGAGGAGTCTACTGGATGAAACCATAGATCTGGATTTGCCAGCTTCTACAAACATTTGAAGCATTTTCTTAAGATAAATCTCTCTCCTTATATATACTTTTAATAATTTACTTTTCTAGAGAACCAAACCTAAACCAACAGGGAATCAAATTCTACCCTGTGCCACAGTCAGAAATGCACATGATGCCTAAAGCACAATACATACAAAATGTGTACCAGACTAGCTGAAGCTAGACTGAACACATGTATAATCAATCCTAGGTATCAGAATCTTCCTTTTTGTTAGTGCTACGACCATACATTAAGCCACCAAGAGCATCTCCACACATACCATGTACCATATAGAACAGTTTCTGGCCTAGCTGGTAGGAAGCTACACCACTAAACCAAAAGGAGTGCCTCTCTGGCTGTTCAAATCCACCAGTAGCTCCACGAGATAAAGATGGGCAATCTCCTCCTGTGATATAAAAGCCTCAGAAAACCCACTTGGGAGGTCAGCTGTAAAGTCAACTCCAACTGGATGAGGAAGAACTTAGTCTCTGACCACCATGCAGTGAAATTATAAATGAGTAACAAAAGAGGGGGAAACTTTAAAAGGGTATAAAATCATGATTAACAAATGTAATTACTAATATCAGTAACCTGTTAAAATGGAAACGTACATTGAGACGTGAAAACTCTAAGCATTTATACATTGATAGTTCCAAACATATATGGAATATTAAGAACTTCTAAATACTCATGTTTTTTTTTTTTTCTAAATACTCATGTTTAAAAAAAAGAAATCAATATTCATTTGAGACTATATTTTAAAGTATCTGAACTAATAGTAAGGTTCTGAAATTCCAAGATTTTAAAAATCATTAATAGTGCTAATTGACAGAGGCTACTTATTTAAAATGATAAATTTCACAAATGAAAAATATCACTAAAAGTGGCTATCTTTAAGCAGTCTCTTTTGGGAGAAAATGTTAGCACTTTATAGGCCAAAGGTCAAAATGCCATTTCTCTCAAAATATTTGCATAAATATTGGGCAGTTTCCTTCAAAACCCCAAGAGTTTTTCCACAAATGAGAATGTAAACCATAAAATTTATACCCAAGCATCAAGACAAAAAGTAGGCAGATAACATCTTTTATAGAGGTACAAACACCTTTTTATAGAGGTACAGGAATTCAAACAGTTTTGTTCTTATTGAAAAAGCCCAATGGAACAGAAGAGAATAAACTTTTATGTAGACACTTAATAAGTTAACGGATCTGTGGGAAATTTCTAATTGACATATTTGGCTATTTATGGGGGGTATCATCATTTCACCACAAAGGAAAAATAGCTAAATGGATTTATGTTTTAATGGGGGGGAAAAAACCTTTTGAGCCAAAAATCAATGTCAAGGGTAGGAAATAGTTTTTGGAGTCCTGGTAGCATAGTGCATGATGTGTTAAGACTGCTAATAAACAGGTGAACAGCTGGAGTGTCCTGCCACACATAACTGTCCCCGAAACCCACTAGAGAGTCACTAGGAATTGCACTCAACTTGAAGGCAAGGCTTTGGGTTTTGTTGTTTTATCTACCCATATATAAAATATATACAGGTTTAAAATAATTTTATATATGCAAGTACTTTATAAAGTACAATAAACTTAACCTCATTAGTAACATGCATAAAGCAACTAAAACTATTTTGCAGTATAATTTTATATCCTGTTATGTGCCATCAAGTCAATTATGACCCATATGGACACTATGAACAGATCTGTCCTATACTGTAGATTCTCAGTGTCTAAAACACTCAAGCCCACTTCTGCAGTCACTGTACCAATCCACTTGGTTGAGGGGCTTCCTCTTTTTCACCATCCCTTCACCTTCCAAAGCATGATGTCCCTCTCCTAACAATATGCCCAGAGTATGTGAGACAACGCTTTCTTTTCCTCCAAGGAGCACTCTGGCTAGAACTTTTCCAAGACAGAGCTGTTTGTTCTTCAGTCCCCCGTGGCAGTACTCTTTTCCAACATTAATTCTTCTCATCATTTTTCTTCATTTTCCAGCTCTCAGCTATATTATCAAGTGACTGAAAAAACCATGGTCTGAAACAGGCACACTTTAGTCCTCAGGCTAACATGATTGTTCCTCAATAATTTGGAGAGCC